TATGAAGCAGATGAAGCAGACTCGCTCCCTCGGTCAAAATTGAGGGGTCGAGGCCGGGTCTGTCCATATACGTCCACTTCGTCCACTTCACGATGTGGAACGCACTTCAAAACGGCAGCGGGGATTCCCCCGAGGGGAAGTCCTTGGGAAGTTCACTAGTGCATGGAGTGGAATGCAGCCTCTATCTGAATCAAATGATTTATCCGATTGTAGCGCTTCGAAATAGTGAATCATTAATTTGCGACGCAATGGTTTAACTGGTTTAAATGGTTTCACCCTTCACTATACTTGCTTTTCAAAATCATTACAAGCGATGTCAATATTAAAAAATGAATGGCCCTTTTGATCTGATTTTTGCTATTGAATCGCTTGAAAGTCACGAGTTTGAGTCTGAATCAATCAGACCGGTTCCAGCGCAAATGACTCACTCAATTGAATCAGTTCGTCTGTTCCTCTTTTCGCATCTTCAGCCATGATTACACGACAATGCGAGCGTAAAAACTTTTTTGCGATATATGGGCGTTTTTGCGAAATTGACGCGTTTCCATTAGGCGTATTTTCAATTCGCAATTTCAATTTGTGCAATTTGAAGGGTAATGGAAACGCGCCTACTGTTGCCGGGGGATGTTTTTCATGTCCGCGGGTTGAAGCGACTCCAATAACATGATATTTATCCCCTGGAATGCGAATTTTAGCAGGGGAACCCCTCCAAAAAAAAAAACGTGTATTTTACCCCCCGGAATGTGATTTTTAACTGGAGACCCCTTCGAAACGCGATTGGGCTAGTTTTGAGTAGCGATAGGGATGGTTTTCTTGTTGAAACCTGGCAACCCTGCAGTAGGCTACTACTACCGGCTTAGCTCGCTGGTTTTATGACATGAACTGAAATAAAAATAAGTGAAAAAGGTATTATGTTTACAACTAAAATAGGTACCTTCTATATATATCACATTTTGTTAGATTTATGTGGGGGTAAACAAAAACTATTTGTTAGCGACAATAAAAACTTTAAATTTTAACACCTTATACAACTTTGCTTCTCAAGCAGTAAATGCATCTTTGATTTAATGATGATTTTAATAAAAAATTAAATAAAAAGTTTTTTTTTTTCTGCTGCCATAAAATGTAAAATTCATGCAGTGTGCATGCATGCATACATTTGTTCCCAGTTTGTATGCTTCTAATGATACCGAGTCATCTGAATTGGTTTGAAGATTAATTGTTTGCCGTTCATGAATAGTCCAACCTCCCAGTGCAGTATTGTCTGTGGACTTTGTATGATAAATGTGGACAATTGTTTGTGTGAGTCTTTGTGCTTTCATTTTTCCCTTTCCCCCATTGCTTTATTCAATCCGTCTCTCTAGCCTAGTGCTTTTACGCCGTAAATCTCAGAGGAACCTCAGTTGCGGGTTAAAAGACACGTCATAAAGCATAAAATGGTTCTTCTGCAGAGTATCTGCTCATAGAAGAAAACTATTGTTCTTGTAATAGTATATATACATTATCACCTTTGATGTGGGAGCCGTTGTCCAAGAGAGAGCATTAAAGTACAAAAAATTTTGAAATCATATTTTTTCATCCTTAAAAGCTAATGATGAAGAATAAAACAGTGAGATTTATGTACTCTTTTGCAGCAGCTAAAGGAATAAAGAACACAGGAGAGCAATAAATCATGAGGGGTGTGATCTGTTCAGGATGTGCAGAGCTTTTTCTTGTTGGCTTTGTGCTCTCTGCTCTATTTCAGAGCTACATTAGATTCAATGTGTTTATGGTTTTAAAAACCTCACAATGATTAATTACATTGCACAGAGGCAAATCCTACCAGAATTAGCTGTGTTTATGTGTGCTGCCCTGTGTAAGAATGCCTTGCTGATCATTTACAGTCCTGAAATCAAAAATTGACCTTACTAATCTTATTGTTCACAATTCATCAACGCATGTTATAAATAAAAAAACATGTTTCTCATCAAAATAATAACTTCCTCTTGCTCTTGTAATGAAACTAAACTGCTAATGGAACTTTGAAACTACATAGATACAGTCTGTGCCGGCGAGGAGAATAACCAATAGCCAAAGAGGTAATCATTGTTTTGTGCTGCTGCTGCAGGTAATGTATCTTTTCTCTTTTATTATGAAGACAATCTGAAACTTTCCTTAGGTGTACCTTCATACTAAAATGTTGTCTGTTAAAGGAATAGTTCACCCTAAAATGAATATTTGCTGAAATGTACTCACCCTCAGGCCATCCAAGATGTTTGTTTCTTCATCAGATTTGGAGAAATTCAGCATTTCATCACTTGTTCACCAATGGATCCTCTGCAGTGAATGGGTGCCGTCAGAATGAGAGTCCAAACATCTGATAAAAACATCACAATAATCCACAAGTAATCCACACCACTCCAGTCCATCAATTAACAGCTTGTGAAGCCAAAAGCTAAGTGTCTTTAAGCAACAAATTCATAATTAAAATGTAACTTTTTTCCCAACAGCTTTCTCCAGTAAAAAAATTGTCTGGTCTGAATCAGGAGAGAAATCTGCACAGATCAAGCACCGTTTACAAGCCAAAACAGCTCTAAACAAATTTTTGGGTTGATTTTGATGTGAGAGGACAACAGAGAATGGACTTTTTCACTGGAGGAAGCGCTATTATGGACTATGGTGTTTTGGCCAGAAGAGACAGTTTAAAGTTGTAAAGTTAAACACTGTAAAGTTAAAATTAAAATGATAGATTTGTTTCTTTTACATACTTTTAACTGATGGACTGGAGTGGTGTGGATTACTTGTGGATTAATGTGATGTTTTTATCAGCTGTTTGGACTCTCATTCTGACGGCACCCATTCACTGCAGAGCATCCATTGCTGAGCAAGATGTGATGATACATTTCTCCAAATCTGTTCCCATGATCAAACAAACTCATTTACATCTTGGATGGCCTGAGAGTGAGTAAATTGTCAGCAAATTTTCATTTTTGGCTGAACTATTTCTTTAAGGTAACTGATTTTTGTTTGATGGAAACCAGTGTTATTTTAGTGTCATTTAGATTCTATTCTAGTTTTTTTTTTTTATTATTAGCTTTTATTTTAATATTTTCTTTCTGCATTTTTTTTCAAGTTTTAGTAATGTTGTTGTGTGTCTGTCATTTCTATTATGAAAATTCTGTCGTTTTTGTTTTTATACGTCTACATAGTTTTTCTTCATTTTAATTTAAATGTTCACATGTTCACATCAAGTTACAGTAAATGAAAATCACACATGTTGTCTTGGCAACTAGCTGAAATAAAATATGTTTCAGTTTGTTATATTTTATTTCCATAAGTGTTTAATTTATTGCAAGTAATGAAAGTGTCATTTTTATGGTTTTAGTTTGATCACATGAGCTTGATTTAATGGAACAGACATTCTTGCTGGAGAACGAAACATTCAATGTAAGTTTTCTTCTTTTTTTCAGGTTAAAGAGTTCTTTGATAATAATTGCAATCTAATATGCATTTATGGATAATTACACAAAATCACGGATGCTCAGCTGACAATAGACTGAATTAGAATTCTAATTACATCAATCAAACTCAAAAGTGATTTGTCGAAGGAAGCCTTCATCAAGGACAAAAGTGTTTCATTAGGAAAGAGCACACAAAGACAAAATTGATTCAATGCTTGTCTAATTATCATTATTGGGTTGTTCGGAGTAGTTTGAAAGAGTGAGTGTGTGGATCACAGGCAGTAAATCCATATCTAATTAATTAGTGTTTATTTTTTATTTTTTATTTTGAATAAAGTATTTTTAATCTATGCTATTTTGATCGTTTTTTTTCCAAATGTGGATTTTCTTTTTGGAAGGACAAAAGTGTTTCATTAGGAAAGAGCACACAAAGACAAAATTGATTCAATGCTTGTCTAATTATCATTATTGGGTTGTTCGGAGTAGTTTGAAAGAGTGAGTGTGTGGATCACAGGCAGTAAATCCATATCTAATTAATTAGTGTGTTTTTTTTTTGTTATTTTGAATAAAGTATTTTTAATCTATGCTATTTTGATAGTTTTTTTTTCCAAATGTGGATTTTCTTTTTGTGATCCGTCAGTATGCCACAACACACGCATATACAAAAAGTCCCTATAAATACTCTAAAATATTTCATAGAATGCCATCATTGCCATGGTATTACCATAGTACCATGCCCAAATAAAAACGCTAGTGTCATGATACTTCCTGTTTGTGTCTATATGAAACATTGTTGCACCCTAGATGTCGCTGTGTGCTTCCCCGCGTGAATAAAGCACGTTGCTCCTCCAGATTCCCATAATGCCTCGTGTTTACCTCCGCTCTGACAGCAGCGATACTGCTCGCTGGCTCTTCTAGTCTGCCGCTGGACCCCAGCCGTTCTCCAGCAGTGCTGCATGCGCTGGAGCATCACCGCACACCGAGGCGACCCCAGCGCAGCTCAGCAGCCGAGCACCGGAGACTGTCGCCGGCTCTGGAGTGTTTATGTTCTCCGCGGTGGGCTTGGACACTTCCTCGCTCTTCATCTGAGGTGAGAGCGCTCGTATAACTTAAACACAGGGAGATCGTTCTCATGCATTGCAGCACTGAAGCTTAAGTTTACGCTTTTCCGTGTTATTTCAAGCGCAACGGCATCATGTTCCAGAGCACGCCGCACTGCGCTTTTAAACACTTTAACATGTCACTTCTTGTCATGTTAATAACGCGAATGCAAGGTGTACGGAATCTATACTTTTGAGTAAGTCATTTGGACTAATGTTTCTGGGCAGTTTAAACGTTCTCTTACATAAATCATTATTCAACTACAAAATGCTAGGTATAAGTGCTACATAATAAACTATGATTACTTCGAGTTATTAGCCACTGTTACAAAAAAAAAAAAAAGACAACATATTGCATAAGTGAAATGTCATGTTCATTAACGTTTTAGAAAAGAACAATAATTATAGAAATTGGTGTAAACTATGGTTACCGTAAATGAGAACAATGTGTCAAGCTAAACTGTTTTACGCCTCCCTTCTGTTACGTCACAGCAGTCCCGACGAGTAGGCTATATGATTCTTGAAACGAATTGTTCATTTGAGTCGGATCTTTTTAAATGAACCCTTGGAACCGGTTAAAACAGTCTGAACGATTCGTTCTCGTATGATTCGTTCAGTAACCGAGACAGGTGTTTGATTCGTGATGCGCTGAGAACCGATAAGTGAGTTGGCTGTAAGAGCATCGTATTGCAATTTTATTAACACGCGGAATATGAATTGTTTTATATTATATTTATATTTATTTGAATTGTATACATGACTTTGTTTAGTTGAATCATGACTTGCAAAATGAACTGAACTGGCACGCATGCAATTACAATAAACATCCTTATTGATTCCAGTTATTAGTGGAATATACAGACCTCACGATCCGATCTGATTCCGATTCTAGGAGTCACGATCCGATTCCAGAATAATTCTGTGAGTCACGATCCGATTCCAGAACGATTCTTGATCTACTTCCCCCCCCCTTATTAATTAATTAGTTTACCGACTTGAGAATCTTAAAATCCTTACATTTACATATCCTTACATAATGAATTAAGTACTTTTAAAAATAATTACAAATTGAAAAAAATAATTAAACAGTTGTATGTTAACAATTTTAAACTAATGTAACTTCAAAACATACAAGCAAGTAGCAAATAATAAAGAGGAGCATAGAAACAAATTACAACAAGCAAACAGAGTGCTTTTAGTATTTAAGATTATCTGAACGTTTTCCATTCAAGAACTGTGAGTGATTTTTCTTCATCTTTACTGCTGTTTTTTACTATGACATCATAGACAGCGGGAGATCAACGATTTAACAGACTTTAATTGCAGTGTTCTTAATCTTTATAAGTTAGTAGTACTGTTCGGGTTTACAGTGTGGGGGCGTGTTAGAACGAGCCGTTTTAGGTAGGTGTGGCTGACTCTTAACTTTTATAAAGAATATCTCTTTGGATTTGAGACTTTAGTCTTTGCAACTTTACAGATCTTCTTTATGCACCAAGAGCTTGTAACACTCCAAAGAGAAAGGAAAACTTGAAATCGCATCATATGACCCCTTTAAGCTGCATTCACGCACGGATCTCTTTTGAAATATAAGAACTAATGTGGTTTGTCCTGTCCGTTTAATCCCTTAAGACATAACTGGCTGTGTTTACATTAATTGTGCGTCATAAAACCATTTTGAGACGCAAGTGCATTAAACCACTTGATGACTTCGTAGAGCATTTGTAAGGAAAATACCGATGGGCGAGACTGCACACTTCAAGTGTAACATCAAACAAAGTGCGCATCCGGTGCAATGAAGCCCGCGAATGTCCTTGTAATTCGCGTCAACCTTTCCCATGGGAACATGTCATGTCAAAATATACAAAATTTATACAAAAATTCATACTTTATACGGACCCCCTGGCCTTATGTCAAGGACCACTAAAACCACACTGGTTGAGAAACACTGCCCTTATATGTATATATATGTATATGTATATATGGTTTAATGGAGAATTTTCTTATTACTCAAATTTCTAGATTTCATATCAGTGTCAGTTTTTCTTTTCTTTAACCTAAGCTGAAATATTATATTCTAGCACAAATACTGTAGGCCTATTAAGTTTGACCGTTTCAGTCTCGCCTCATATTTGTTAGATTTTGAGTAATTTAGTCTTAGTGCTTGTTGACTGTCAACCCGAGTTATTAGAAAGTAATTATAAATAATTTGTTGAATTGTGTGGTATGACTGCCGACAGTTAAGCGCTAAGATATTTGGGAAAATGTTCACAGTGAAGCGACGTGATGCATTTAAACTGTTGTTAAATATGCTTTATGATCATCTTAATATTCACACCAGGTGTGCTGGTAGAAATGGGCTCTTGGTGGAGCAATAATTGAATCGCACCCTGTTTTGTCGTTTTCCTCTGTGCGCTGTAGGTTTTCAGTGTTTTTGGAGTGTGGAGCGCATGGAATGGCGCAAAGCGAGTGAGTGTCAGGACTGCAGCAATAACACGTCTGTATGATTCACATGAAAAGCTTTGTATCCTAGCAGCACAAGAGAAATGCACAACCACCAACGGGTATCAGTGCATGACAGTTATAGGCCTCATTCTCAATAAGATGATGAGCGGCCGGTTTCTTGTGAATGATCAAAGTTTGGGTTGTTTAGACTCAGTGGGAAGCAGAGAGGTAATTCTAATATTGTGCAAACCACAGCTGTTTTTATTGAATGCGAGCTCTCTGTTGCAGAACAGTATCGATCGAAAGCAGTGCGTTTTACACTTCTGTCATTCTTTCATCCAGTCACTTCTCTTTCTGTCAAAAAAGCAAACTTTTTAAATCATCTCTTAGAAACTTTGAGAAATGTTGTTGTGCCTTTTCATGCAGTTGCAGTGATGAGGACTAGAGCTTTCAATTTTCAAAAAAGCTACAAAAGCACCACAAAAGTAAAATGGTCCATATCGTTTGTTTATGCATTATGTTCAAAGTCTTCATTAAAATTCATAAAAACATCTTCTTTATTTACTTATTTACAATAATAGGGCCCTATGAATGTCCTTTCTGTTGTGTATTTAAAAAAGAAAATGTTTCAGATGAATATTTTTGGTTGCCGAATTTACATAATTCATGACCACCTTGGCTCTCCACGGCACATTTATGACAGAATAAGTGAAGTCTGATTTATGAATCATTCTTTGGAGTCGAATCTTTTCAAAGAATCGGTTGATTCAGTTCACAACACTGTTTTGAATGATTAGTTATCCGGTTTACTGGAGAGGAAAATGATCAGCGAATAATACTGGTTAGTTTCTCACATAATCGCATGAATTCTGAAGACTTAAATTCTAGTGCACAGGTAATAGGGACAGCTTTTTGAGTTTCATGCTGCGCTAGTTTTAGTGTGAACCTCACACAGCGATGCTTTCGTTTCATTCCAGCGTCTTTCTTTCTATCTGGTTTATCCCAGCATCTCTTTAGCCCTTCATGTTGTGTTTCTCCTGGTCTGAGAACTTTGAGAAATGTTGTTGTGCCTTTTCATGCAGTTGCAGTGATGAGGACTAGAGCTTTCAATTTTCAAAAAAGCTACAAAAGCACCACAAAAGTAAAATGGTCCATATCGTTTGTTTATGCATTATGTTCAAAGTCTTCATTAAAATTCATAAAAACATCTTCTTTATTTACTTATTTACAATAATAGGGCCCTATGAATGTCCTTTCTGTTGTGTATTTAAAAAAGAAAATGTTTCAGATGAATATTTTTGGTTGCCGAATTTACATAATTCATGACCACCTTGGCTCTCCACGGCACATTTATGACAGAATAAGTGAAGTCTGATTTATGAATCATTCTTTGGAGTCGAATCTTTTCAAAGAATCGGTTGATTCAGTTCACAACACTGTTTTGAATGATTAGTTATCCGGTTTACTGGAGAGGAAAATGATCAGCGAATAATACTGGTTAGTTTCTCACATAATCGCATGAATTCTGAAGACTTAAATTCTAGTGCACAGGTAATAGGGACAGCTTTTTGAATTTCATGCTGCGCTAGTTTTAGTGTGAACCTCACACAGCGATGCTTTCGTTTCATTCCAGCGTCTTTCTATCTGGTTTATTCCAGCATCTCTTTAGCCCTTCATGTTGTGTTTCTCCTGGTCTGAGATGGATTGTGACCTTCCACAAAACCACTAAGCCTCTCTGCCTTCACTTCATATAAGGTTTATCAGTGCTGTTGAAGGCATTGTATTCCTCCGGCTGATGCTTTGAGCGGTCTGTCTGCGCCTCTGATTTTTGTGTTGCACTGTAGTCTGTTCTTGTAGAGCTCAATTTGCTGCTCTTTACACTCTGTGCAGCGAGGACTTAGATTAAATCCTGGCTTAGATCCTGCCTAGTCTTTGACTAAAGGAAATAGGGGATCAGCGGTGAATGAGTTTATTTCCTTACGCTTGTTTGATGCTTGGCTGTTCGAGAGGAAATTACTGGAGTATTTAAATGTATCTTTGTGTATCATTTTATCCCGCCTTATAGCATTCAAAGAGATGTTTAACGGCGAGAGGGTTTGGATACCAGTCACATAAAGGGATTTAATTCACATTTACCAGCTTAGAAGAACTATTAAAGTGTTTAATGACGGCAAATATATATATATGTCTCAATACAGTGACTGAAACCGGTCTGAAAGAGCACCACAGAATCCAGTCTTTTTTGCTCTTTCAATCTAGATTGAAAGTAAAGAGGCATTTCTTATCATAATGCACTAAACGCACATACATACTCGTCTCTAAATGGAGGACGTTCGCACAACTCAAAGGTTGGAGCATGAAGGATGCTCTGCTTACTCAAGAGCAGAGCGTCCATGAGCACTCCTGTGGCTTTTCTGTTGGTTTTATTGCTTTATGTTGTCGTTGAGAGATAGTTGGTGTCATTTGAATATTCTTTCAAGCAGAAATGCACTGTCATAAAGCTTGCTCCTCTCTCTCTCTCCGCACAGAAATAGAAATGAGCGAGCGT